TAACTCAGGGGTATCTCCTCTCCTTTAACTCAGGGTATCTCCTCTCCTTTAACTCAGGGGTATCTCCTCTCCTTTAACTCAGGGGTATCTCCTCTCCTTTAACTCAGGGGTCTCTCCTCTCCTTTAACTCAGGGGTCTCTCCTCTCCTTTAACTCAGGGGTATCTCCTCTCCTTTAACTCAGGGGTATCTCCTCTCCTTTAACTCAGGGGTATCTCCTCTCCTTTAACTCAGGGGTATCTCCTCTCCTTTAACTCAGGGGTATCTCCTCTCCTTTAACTCAGGGGTATCTCCTCTCCTCTAACTCAGGGGTATCTCCTCTTGCCCTTTACATGTCGTAGCTGCTACATTGTGTTGCCTTGTGGTAAATGCTTCTATGCTGCTGATGCTCTTTCTACATATCATGTATTTCTGTTTGCTGTGTTTATAAATGTCATGTTCTTAAATGTTGTTTGTGACGGACTACGGATGGAAATGAGCTCAAAGCTAAAATCCGGCTCATTTACATTTAAAAGCATTATTTTGTTTAAAATGTTCATTAATGTGCACCCCTCCGGTTCAAATGACCCGGGGGGGTGCAGGCTCTGCACAGTGTGTATTCGTACTGAAAGAGTGTGTATTAGTGCTAACAGAGTGTGTATTAGTGCTAACAAAGTGTAGTACTAACAGAGTGTGTATTAGTGCTAACAGAGTGTGTATTAGTGCTAACAGTGTGTATTAGTGCTAACAGAGTGTGTATTAGTGCTAACAGTGTGTATTAGTGCTAACAGAGTGTGTATTAGTGCTAACAGAGTGTGTATTAGTGCTAACAGTGTGTATTAGTACTAACAGAGTGTGTATTAGTAGTAACAGAGTGTAGTACTAACAGAGTACTCGTCCCTCAGGACCCGGGGGGTGCAGGCTCTGCACAGTATGTATTAGTACTAATAGAGTGTGTATTATTAGTAACAGAGTGTAGTACTAACAGAGTGTGTATTAGTAGTAACAGAGTGTAGTACTAACAGAGTGTGTATTAGTAGTAACAGAGTGTAGTACTAACAGAGTACTCGTTCCTCAGGACCCGGGGGGGTGCAGGCTCTTCAGAGTGTGTATTAGTACTAACAGAGTGTGTGTTAGTAGTAACAGAGTGTAGTACTAACAGAGTACTCGTTCCTCAGGACCCGGGGGGGTGCAGGCTCTGCGCTGCCGGCCCCAGAGCTCCACCTCCCTCTCCTGCTCCTGGACCCCCCCCCAGGCAGACTACGACTCCTTCAGCATTGAGTGCTCTGACTCGAGGCTCCTGGTGTACTCGCGGCGCAGCAACAACACCACGTACGTGATCGAGCATCTGCAGCCGAGCCGGAGGTATAGCGTCAGCGTGAAGACCATCTCAGAGCAGAGCACCAGCGAGGAGGCGCGGGACAGCGTGCTCACCATGATCGACCGTGAGACTTCCTTTTTCCTGTAAAGCACTTCCTGTTTCCTTTCCCTGTAAAGCACTTCCTCTCCGTGTAAATATCTTCCTGTCCCTGTAAAGGACTTCCTGTTCCTGTTAAGCACTTCCTGTCCCTGTAAAGCACTTCCTGTTTCTGTTAAGCACTTCCTGTCCCTGTAAAGCACTTCCTGTTCCTGTTAAGCACTTCCTGTCCCTGTAAAGCACTTCCTGTTCCTGTTAAGCACTTCCTGTCCCTGTAAAGCACTTCATGTCCCTGTAAAGCACTTCCTGTTCCTGTAAACCATTACTTTTCCCTGTAAAGCACTTCCTCTTCCTGTAAAGCACTTCCTGTTTCCTGTTCCTGTAAATCACTTCTTGTTCCTGTAAAGCACTTCCTGTTTCCTGTTCCTGTAAATCACTTCCTGTCCCTGTAAAGCACTTCCTGTTCCTGTAAAGCTCTTGTCACTACCCGATCTGCAGCTCTGCCCTATCTGTAGTGCGCATGTGCGAGATGGTCCGCCATTTTTTACAACTACATACGGCAACCCAAGAAGGACACTTGACACAGTGGCTTTTGGCAAAGCTCAAAAAGAAAACTCGAGAGAGATGAGTTATTGTTATTACAACGTGACTTCACTATTATTTAACAACTCTTTTTATTGGGTTCTTTTATTTGGGGTTAAGTACACTGTCAGAATAAGTGAGAAATGGATTTAACTTCTGTTAGACAGCCATATGCCATACATTGTTGCACACATTCACAGTAAATATGTATTCAGTATGGGGGGCATCCCCCCCTGACCCCCCTAGAGGATGTGACGTCCACCCCCATTTCAAACATGTTCATACAATACTGAATACATTTGAAGCCATTTTGACGTATATTACCTATGTCAATAAGTTTCTGTTTTTTTAGTGTATTTGTCTTTTGTAGAGATTTTTCATTTATTCTTTATTTATAAAATCTCGCCTAGGGCAGCAAATAGTCTAGAACTGGCCCTGGTACTGGGCCTCAAGAGCCTTTCTTGTGCTGGCAGACACATAGAAACAAATTGGCGGGGCGCACTTCGCACGTGCACACACTAAACAATTCCACGTGCCCCGCACTCACATTATGCTGGGCCCAGGTGCCTTAGCACCGCTGCTATGACTCCATCCTAGGGGAAACACTGTCCTGTAAAGCACTTCCTGTTTCCTGTTTCTGTTAATCACTTCCTGTTTCCTGTTTCTGTAAATCACTTCCTGTCCCTGTAAAGCACTTCCTGTTTCTTGTTGATGACTTCCTGTTTCCTGTGCAGGTCCTCCGGTGCCCCTCCCCAGCACCAGGATCAGTGTTTTCTCTGCTGCGGTCACAGAGTCCTCGGTGGTCTTCCAGGTGAACTGCAGCTGGTTCAGTGACGCTCACGGAGCCGTCAGGTTCTTCACGGTGGTGGTGTCCGAGTCTCAGGGTGAATATAAACTCCCTCAGGACAATGTGATGCTCAGAGTCCTGTGTTAAAGTCTTTCATCCAGACTTTAGGGTTAGAATCAGGTTTCTTCACACATAGAACAGACTGCGTCTCGCTCGGAGAGGACGCTGGCATTGACTGCTCGCCGCTTCTCCGTTGACTGCTCGCCGCTTCTCCGCCTCTATTACCCCTCTATCCTTTTCTGCATTGCACATTGTTTTTAATTTTAACTTATTTTGGACTTCTGCCTCCGCTGCTGGCTGAAGCCGGCTGCCCTCACTCAGCCAACAAAGTGCCAGGTGGCTTATGCTATCTGCTACATCGCCTACTTGTCTGTCTCCGTCCCAGGCAACAACCGTGGACTCTCTCTGCCTCCTGCCTTCATCTCTGGGGTACATCTGTCCCGTCCCGCTGCTCACTTCCTCCTGCCATGTCGTGGATCTTCCTCGTCTCCACAACAATCCTCCACCTCTCTGCACCTAGCCCGCTAGCCGCTATCGCTGCTAGCACACTGCTCACAGCATTCCCGCCTGTCATCATGCTGAAATACTCCATCTCACAGCTTCTGTCATTCACCAACTCCTCCACCCCGTCTTCCATCTCAGTCATCAGACATCTTGGACTCCTTTGTCGACCCCGCTACATTCACCGAAGCACCCGCCGCAGTTTTGTTTACTTTCAGCATGGACAATCCATAGCATCTATCTGCTCTACCCAACGCACACCTGACGCGTCATCAGAACGCAACTCCTACTGCTCCTCTCTCCCCCGCTAACCTACACTCCCAGCTGCATTAAATACCTGGAGCGGATCCCACTCCCCTCCGCCTCCCAACACATAACAAGCCATTTCTCCCCACCATCAAGCCCCCCTCCTCTGCTCCACCGCCCCCCCTCTCGTGCCCACCCCCGCGCTGCTAACCAGGCCAACCTCATACCTCTCCAGCCAGAACATCCGGATTACAGAACTCCCTCTCCCCTCAGTACCATCCTTCGAATTCCTCGCCTTCAAAGCCCCTCCCTCACTGACAGTTATCCTCATTTACCGCCCCCCCCAAACCACACCCCTCCTTCCTCTCTGATCTCACTGATCTCCTCACCATTGCTTCATCCCTCTCCCCACGTCTGTTACTCCTCGGCGACCTCAACATCCACATGGACTCCCCCACCTGCAAACTCGCTTCTGAATTATCCTCCCTTCTGGACAATTTCTCATTTACCCAATATGTCACCTTCCCCACCCATGATAAAGGACACATCCTTGACCTTGTCTGCTCCACCAACCTCCCAGGACTCGACCTCTACCCCTGCCTCTTTCCCCTCTCTGACCACAAACTCATACAGTTCACCATCGCCTCCCCTGTCCGCCCCCCCCCCACCCATCCAGGAACATCACCTTCCGTAATTTATGCTCTGTCGATCCCCAGCACCTCTCCGACCTGCTGTGCACTACTCTCCCCCTGGACTCGAACCTCAGCTCACCCGATGAACAACTCAACCACCTTAATTCCACCCTACTCGCCTCCCTCAACAGCCTGGCCCCCCTCAAAAGTAAAAATATCACTTTTAAAACCTCCTCACCCTGGTTCACCCCTGCACTCCGTAAGCTGAAGCAAACCGGCCGCCAGCTTGAACGCCTAACCAAGAAATCATCCCTCACAGTTCACCATGAATCCAACAAACTCCATCTCACTACCTACAGAGACGGCCTCACTGCCGCAAAAACTGCTTACCTCTCCACCATCTTTACCGACCCCTCCCATAACCCCTGGACCCTCTTCTCCACCGTCAACAAGCTCCTCAAACCCCGTGCTGACACCCTCCCTTCCTCCACTTCCACTTTATGCAGTTAATTCCTCCAGTTTTTCTCTGACAAAATCACTGCCATTAATCTCTCCCTATCCGCTGCATCTGACACACATACATCTCCCCCAACATCCACCGCCACAATTTCTCCCCCCATCTCCCTGGACCTCCCGAGCCCTCCTCCCCACGGCCGCCTCTCCCAGTTCACTCTGGTTAACCCCCTGAAATACTCAAACTGATCAGCTCCTCCAAACCCACAACCTGCTCCCTTGACCCTCTACCCACCCCTCTACTGAAGTCCTGTCTCCCCGTCCTCTGACCCTACCTTGTCAACCTTTTCAACTCCTCCCTGTCCCAAGGAACCGTTCCCTCTGGCTTCAAAACTGCTGCTGTCACTCCCATCCTCAAGAAACCCGGTTTGGATCCCTCCTCCCTCAGTAATTACCCGCCCCATCTCCAACCTCCCCTTTCTCTCAAAAACAATAGAACGCTTAATCTCCAAACAACTCCACCGCCATCTCCAAACCAACCAGCTTTATGAACCCCTTCAGTCTGGATTTCGTCCTCACCACAGTACAGAAACTGCACTCGTCAAAGTCCTCAATGACCTCCTCACCTCTGCTGACACCGGTTCCCTGAACATCCTCCTCGACCTGAGTGCAGCCTTCGATACCGTGAGCCACACCATCCTGCTTACCCGACTCCAAGACATCGGTATCAAAGGTACTGCACTCAGGTGGCTCCAGTCCTACCTCTCCGACAGATCCCACTTCATCTCCCTCAACAACCACTCCTCTGCCACAGCTTCAGTCACCCAAGGTGTTCCCCAAGGTTCAGTACTCGGCCCCCTCCTCTTCATCATCTACATCCTCCCCCTTGGTCAGATTCTCCGCCAATACAACCTGGACTTTCACTGTTACGCCGACGACACCCAGATTTACCTCAACACCAAATCCCCCCACAACCCACCCCCCTCACCCACATCGACTGCAATAAAATCCTGGATGCAACACAACTTCCTCAAACTCAACAGCAATACAACTGAACTCCTCATCGGCTCCAAATCCACCCTCAGCAAAACCCCCAACCTGACAGTCACCATTGATGGCACCCTTGTTTCCCCCTCCACCCAGGCACGCAACCTTGGCGTTATATTTGACCCCACCCTCTCCCTCGAGCCCCACATCCGTCAAGTTGTAAAAACCTAATTTTTCCACCTCTCTCACCCGCCCTGCAGCTGAGCGACTCATTCTCGCCTTCATCTCCTCCCGCCTTGACTATTGCAACTCACTCCTCTACGGCATCAGCACTACACCCCTCAGTAGACTCCAGCGTGTCCAGAACGCAGCCGCCAGACTCCTCACCGACGCCAAATCATGGCATCACATCACCCCGGTCCTCAAAGCCCTCCACCATCTACCCCCCCTACCTCACTGACCTCCTCATCCTCTACCATCCTCTCCGGACTCTCAGATCCACCTCAGCCGGTTTGCTTTCCACCCCCAAGGCCAAACTCCGGAGCTTTGGGGATAGAGCCTTCTCTGTGGCAGCCCCAAAGCTCTGGAACTCCCTCCCCCAAGACCTCCGTGAGTCTGAGTCCCTCACCCTGCTCCAGTCCCGCCTCAAAACCTACCTCTTCAACTCTGTTTATCCATAAGCCCCCCCCCCTCTCAATCAACTTCCTCTTGACTGCCTTTTCTGTTTATTTTATTTGTTTGTTTTGTTTTGTTGTTTTTGTCTATTTTTGCCTGTCCTTGTTTGTCTACCCTCCCTCACACTGTAAAGCATATTTGAGTTCGAGAAAAGCGCTATATCAATATAATCTATTATTATTATTATACAAGGAGTTGCTTTGGTGTCTGGTGGTCCGAACATAAACTACATAAGACAATAAGTTGTAAAAGAAGGTCAACAATAAAACCATTATAAAAATAGTTTTTGAAAAACTATTTAAAAAGTAGCCTCCCTGTATGCTGACCTAAAGAAGGTCTGGTCCCTGTATGCTGACCTAAAGAAGGTCTGGTCCCTGTATAGTGACCTAAAGAAGGTCTGGTCCCTATATGCTTGGTCTGGTCCCTGTATGCTGACCTAAAGAAGGTATGGTCCCTGTATAGTGACCAAAAGAAGGTCTGGTCCCTATATGCTGACCTAAAGAAGGTCTGGTCCCTGTATAGTGACCAAAAGAAGGTCTGGTCCCTGTATGCTGACCTAAAGAAGGTCTGGTCCCTGTATGCTGACCTAAAGAAGGTCTGGTCCCTGTATAGTGACCTAAAGAAGGTCTAGTCCCTGTATGCTGACCTAAAGAAGGTCTGGTCCCTGTATAGTGACCTAAAGAAGGTCTGGTTCCTGTATGCTGACCTAAAGAAGGTATGGTCCCTGTATAGTGACCAAAAGAAGGTCTGGTCCCTATATGCTGACCTAAAGAAGGTCTGGTCCCTGTATAGTGACCAAAAGAAGGTCTGGTCCCTGTATGCTGACCTAAAAAAGGTCTGGTCCCTGTATGCTGACCTAAAGAAGGTCTGGTCCCTGTATAGTGACCTAAAGAAGGTCTAGTCCCTGTATGCTGACCTAAAGAAGGTCTGGTCCCTGTATAGTGACCTAAAGAAGGTCTGGTCCCTATATGCTGACCTAAAGAAGGTCTGGTCCCTGTATAGTGACCTAAAGAAGGTCTGGTTCCTGTATGCTGACCTAAAGAAGGTATGGTCCCTGTATAGTGACCAAAAGAAGGTCTGGTCCCTATATGCTGACCTAAAGAAGGTCTGGTCCCTGTATAGTGACCAAAAGAAGGTCTGGTCCCTGTATGCTGACCTAAAGAAGGTCTGGTCCCTGTATGCTGACCTAAAGAAGGTCTGGTCCCTGTATGCTGACCTAAAGAAGGTCTGGTCCCTGTATAGTGACCTAAAGAAGGTCTGGTCCCTGTATGCTGACCTAAAGAAGGTCTGGTCCCTGTATAGTGACCTAAATAAGGTCTGGTCCCTGTATGCTGACCTCTGCAGGTGATGAAGAGGAGCAGCTCTGGTGTCTCTGCAGGTGATGAAGACGAGCAGCTCTTCTTCACCCTGTGTCTGATCTCTCTGCAGGTGATGAAGACGAGCAGCTCTTCATCACCCTGTGTCTGGTGTCTCTGCAGGTGATGAAGACGAGCAGCTCTTCATCACCCTGTGTCTGGTGTCTCTGCAGGTGATGAAGACGAGCAGCCTCAGCAGCAGCATCCTCTTCCTTCCTACCGGGATTATAAATTCAACAGCTCCATAAAGAACTTCCAGACGGGCTTCTTCCCCAGCAGCTGCAGTGACAGCAGCCAGCACAGCTTCCAGCTGGCTCTGGGCTCGGGGGCGCCTCCTCTGGGCGGGCCCTGTCAGCGCAGAGACGTCCAACCAGCAGAGAGCAGCACCGGCCAGTTCTGTGACGGGCCCCTGAAACCCAGAACTGCATACAGGTACCCATCTCATGTGTTTAATGAACAGGCCACTAGACGCCTTACACTTTCTTTCTTAGTTGTGATCACTAGCTTGGCTATCGCTGATGTGTTCATAATGTACGACTTGGGTTTAATCAAAATAAAATAATAAACTTTTCACACATTAACAAAGAAAACCACCTTTAGAATAGTCAAACATTACATTACATTACATTGCATTTAGCTGACGCTTTTATCCAAAGCGACTTACAATAAGTACATTCGACCAGGAAGACACAACCTTGAAGAAAACAGAATCATATAAGTACATCAGGTTTCATAGAGCCAAACATTTCAAGTGCTACTCCACTGGCTTTAGGTAAGCCAGTCCTTTATTAGTATAAAAGTGCTTCGTTAGTAGTTCTAACGCTCGAAGTGGAGTCGAAAGAGATGAGTTTTCAGTTTGCGCCGGAAGATGTGCAAGCTATCTGCCATCCTGATGTCAATGGGGAGCTCATTCCACCATCTTGGAGCCAGGACAGCAAACCCACGTGTTTTCGCCGATGGGAACTTGGGTCCCCCTCGCAGCGAGGGCGCAACGAGTCGTTTGGCTGATGCAGAGCGTAGTGCACGCGCTGGGGTGTACGGTTTAACCATGTACTGGATGTAGGAAGGGCCAGATCCATTCGCAGCATGGTAAGCAAGTACCAGTGTCTTGAAGTGGATTCTAGCAGTTACCGGAAGCCAGTGAAGGGAGCGGAGGAGCGGAGTGGTGTGGGAGAATTTAGGAAGGTTGAAGACCAGACGAGCCGCTGCATTCTGGATGAGCTGCAGAGGTCGGATGGCACATGCAGGTAGACCAGCCAGGAGGGAGTTGCAGTAGTCTAGGCGTGAGATGACGAGAGCCTGGACCAGAACCTGAGTCGCTTTCTGAATCAGCTGGGGACGTATCTTCCTGATGTTGTAAAGCGTGTATCTGCAGCAACGGGTTGTAGCAGCGATGTTTGCAGTGAAGGACAGGTTGTTATCTAGGGTCACACCCAGATTCCTTGCAGTCTGAGTCGGGGAAACAACTGAGGTGCCGATGTTGATTGTTAGGTCAAGAGTGGGACAATCTTTTCCCGGAAGGAAGAGCAGCTCAGTCTTGTCAAGGTTGAGCTTGAGGTGGTGAGCAGACATTCACTGAGAGATGTCAGCTAGACAAGCAGAGATGCGTGCAACGACCTGGGTCTCTGAGCGGGGAAAGGACAGAATTAATTGGGTGTCATCAGCGTAGCAGTGGTAAGAAAAACCATGCGGGCTAATGACTGATCCGAGCGAGTTTGTGTACACGGAGAAGAGGAGGGGACCAAGAACAGAGCCCTGAGGGACCCCCGTAGTTAATTGACAAGGGTCGGACTCGGACCCTCTCCAAGTCACCCTGTAGGTATGGTCTTTGAGGTATGAGGTGAGGAGGGAAAGTGCAGAGCCTGAAACTCCAAGTTATTGGAGAGTGCGAAGGAGTATCTGATGATTCACTGTGTCGAATGCAGCAGACAGGTCCAACAGGATGATGACAGAGGAGAGGGAGGCTGCTTTAGCAGTGTGCAGTTCCTCAGTGACAGCAATGAGAGCAGTTTCTGTGGAGTGACCTGCCTTGAAACCAGACTGGTGCGGATCCAGAAGGTTGTTCTGATTGAGATAACAGGAGAGTTGTTTAAAGACAGCGCGTTCAAGTGATTTAGACAGGAACGGGAGGAGAGAGACAGGCCTGTAGTTTATAACATCAGACGGGTTGAGAGTGGGTTTCTTTAGGAGAGGGTTTACTCTTGCCTCCTTGAGACTGTTTGGAAAGTGACCAGAAGTTAGAGAAGTGTTGATGAAATGGGTGAGAAACGGTAGAATATCAGGAGCGATAGTCTGAAGGAGGTTTGAAGGGATAGGGTCCAGAGGACAGGTGGTAGGGCGGGCAGAGGTAATGAGGGTAAGAACCTCACTTGGAGAGAGAGGGGAAAAGGAGGTTAGTGTGTGGGTGGAAGGAGGGTCTGGTGACCCAGCGGTGAGTAAAGGTGAGTCAGAAAAAGAAGAGCGAATATCATCAACCTTTTTTTCAAAGTGGGTAACAAAGTCGCTTGACAGAAGTGAGGAGGGGGGAGGAGCTTTTGGAGGGTCCAAGAGGGTGGAGAAGATGGAAAATAGTTTTTTAGGATTGGAATAGGAAGATTGGATCTTATCTTGAAAGAAAGTGCTTTTTGCCTGAGAGATCGAAGCAGAGAAAGAGGAGAGGAGAGCTTGATAGGTTAGGAGGTCGTCACGGTGTTTGGATTTCCACCATTTCCGCTCTGCTGCCCTAAGGACGGTTCTATTAGCACGCAGTGCATCATTTAGCCAGGGAGCAGGAAGGGACTGACGAGCCTGCCGAGATGTGAGAGGACAGAGCGAGTCCAGAGTGGATGAGAGAGTAGAGAGGAGAGTTTCTGCAGCAGAGTTTGGAGGCAGGAGATGGAACGAATCAGAGGAAGGGAGGGCTGAGAGCACCGACGAGGCAAAGGTAGGGGGGGAGAGGGAGCGAAGGTTACGGCGGACAAGTGCAGGATGGGAAGAGATTAGTTTGTTATGTTTGGAAAGGGATAGAGAGAATGAAATGAAGAAGTGATCGGATGTGTGGAGCGGGTTTACAGAGAGGTTAGAAGTAGAGCAGTTCCTTGAGAATATGAGATCAAGGACATTGCCAGCTTTATGAGTCGGTGGGGACGGAGACAGTGAGAAAGCAAAGGCGGTTAACAGAGATGTTAGTTCGTCTATCTTCCCCGTCTGGAGGTTGAAGTCTCCGAGAAGTACAGCGGGAGGGCCAGTTTCAGGGATGAGTGAGAGGAGATTATCTAATTCCTCCAAGAAGTCCCCCAAGGCGCCTGGTGGACGGTAGAGAACAACAATGGTTAACTGTATAGGATGGGTTACTGTGACGGCATGGAATTCAAAGGTGGAAGGAGTGAAGTTAGGTAGCTTGAAGAGGGAAAAGCTCCATTTGGGAGATAGCAGGAGACCAGTGCCACCTCCTCTGCCAGTGGGTCTGGGTGTATGGGAGAAGGAATATGCAGTGGAGAGAGCTGCTGGGGTGGATGTGTTGGATGGAGTAATCCAGTTCTCAGTGAGAGCAAGGAAATCCAGAGACTGCAGGGAGGCGTAGCCAGAGATGAAGTCAGCCTTAGGAACAGCTGACTGGCAGTTCCACAGGCCACCTGAAACTAGATGTTGGATCTCAGTGGAGCACGTGGGATAGACGAGAGCAGGCCGGTTATATCGATTAGGAGATACACGGGGCCAGTGATAATTGCGAGAAGACACATGAACAGGAATGTAGAAAATACACATGATTATAGCATGAGGGGCAAGAAAACTAAAGAAAAGATAAATAAGACACCAGCACAATCAGAGTAGGATTTGCCTCCTCTTTGCCTCCCTCGTGACTCCCGCAGGACTCCAATGTCTTTGTCAGTCTTACTCCCGCAGGACTCCAATGTCTTTGTCAGTCTTCGGCTGTCTGACGCTGAAGCTGACGCTCCAGGAAAGAGCTACCCAAAAATGGACGCCTGATTGCTCAGTTCACACAGCTGTAGGGCCACGGCCCTCTAATTAGTTAACTATCTACAGCTGATGGGCGACAGTAGACTGGCCGTGCCTATATTAATGCAGGCTTGAGTGCTGAGACCTGTAAAGCAGGTTTCGCCTGAGCAGATCTGAGATTTAAAATCTCTCAAACGCGATTTAGCCGTTAAAGCTACAATAACAATTTATACAGAGTCGAATAAATGAAACAGAGAAGTCTAATTAAACAAGAATATAACTTACAGTGGTTGCTGCGTCAATAGGTAATGTCGTTACCGGGTCCAGATGCACACTGAGTTCATCAGATTTTAAATGCGGTATTTAAATGCTTTTTAAGGTACAAAATGACTGAGTCACGCGGTTGTACTTCACGCTATCAATAGACTGGCCGTGCCTATATTAATGCAGGCTTGAGTGCTGAGACCTGTAAAGCAGGTTTCGCCTGAGCAGATCTGAGATTTAAAATCTCTCAAACGCGATTTAGCCGTTAAAGCTACAATAACAATGTATACAGAGTCGAATAAATGAAACAGAGAAGTCTAATTAAACAAGAATATAACTTACAGTGGTTGCTGCGTCAATAGGTAATGTCGTTACCGGGTCCAGATGCACACTGAGTTCATCAGATTTTAAATGCGGTATTTAAATGCTTTTAAGGTACAAAATGACTGAGTCACGCGGTTGTACTTCACGCTATCAGTAGACTGGCCGTGCCTATATTAATGCAGGCTTGAGTGCTGAGACCTGTAAAGCAGGTTTCGCCTGAGCAGATCTGAGATTTAAAATCTCTCAAACGCGATTTAGCCGTTAAAGCTACAATAACAATTTATACAGAGTCGAATAAATGAAACAGAGAAGTCTAATTAAACAAGAATATAACTTACAGTGGTTGCTGCGTCAATAGGTAATGTCGTTACCGGGTCCAGATGCAAACAAATCTTAGATCCTCTTTCTGGACGTTGTGTAGTCTTTCGCACAGGTTACCCATCTCTCTGTCTCTTTAGAGGCTAGTGGGAATTGTAGTCAGGAGTAGAAGGTCAGGAGTAGGTGACAATATTTGGCAATTTTAACAAAAGACTGGCTCAGATTACATTACTATTGATTACTACTGATTACATCATCTTACATGTAACTAGTATATTTAACGGATTACATTTTTAAAGTAACCCTCCCAACCCTGATAATCAAGCGTCCAAAGGATGTTAAAAACCCTGAGGTCTCTGCCTTCAGAAATCCATAGCATTCATCTGTTCGTATCTCACATATCTATTATTACAATAAGCAGAGTATTCTTTTACTCTATAGTATATCATTTTACATCTAGTTTTAGCTGATCTTATTCTATTTTACTTAGGGTAGAGGGTTATTTTAATGTTCCTGCATTACTTGCACATTAGTCTGTCAACATTCTCTTGCACTATTTTATTTCTACTCTGTTTCTTCCTGCACTATTTTTATAGTTTTTTGTCTGATATATTTGTGTTGCATTGTTGGAGAAGCCTGGGACTTCAGATTTTCATTTCATAACTACAGTAGCTTTGCATATGATGATTAAACATTTGAACTTTGAACTTAGATGTATTTGGCATACCTTTTCTCTGTGTGTCTGCAGGCTGAGCATCCGAGCGTTCACTCAGCTGTTTGATGACCAGCAGAGAGCCTCTCCTCTGTACAGCGACACCTACCTGTCGCTACCCATTGTCACCGAGGCCGGTCCGCTGCCCGTCAGACATTAACGTCTTCATTTAAACCAAACTGTTTCAGATGTCCACGAATAAAAACGTTGTGTATCCTCCCTCAGAGCCTCTGAGCGGCGTGATCGAGGGTGTCAGTGCCGGCATGTTCCTTGTCGTCATGATGGTGGGGGTCACCGCTCTGCTGGTTTGCAGACAAAAGAGTCGCAAAGTGTAAGTATCTATGACTTAAAGACGTGATTACACAACTTACCTCTTCACTAACACTGTGTATCACTGTGCTGCCTCTGCTGGACTGTAACACACCTCCTCACTTACACTGTTTATCACTGTGCTGCCCTCTGCTGGACTGTAACACACCTCCTCACTAACACTGTGTATCACTGTGCTGCCCTCTGCTGGACTGTAACACACCTCCTCACTAACACTGTTTATCACTGTGCTGCCCTCTGCTGGACTGTAACACACCTCCTCACTAACACTGTTTATCACTGTGCTGCCTCTGCTGGACTGTAACACACCTCCTCACTTACACTGTGTATCACTGTGCTGCCCTCTGCTGGACTGTAACACACCTCCTCACTTACACTGTTTATCACTGTGCTGCCCTCTGCTGGACTGTAACACACCTCCTCACTAACACTGTTTATCACTGTGCTGCCCTCTGCTGGACTGTAACACACCTCCTCACTAACACTGTTTATCACTGTGCTGCCCTCTGCTGGACTGTAACACACCTCCTCACTTACACTGTGTATCACTGTGCTGCCTCTGCTGGACTGTAACACACCTCCTCACTAACACTGTTTATCACTGTGCTGCCCTCTGCTGGACTGTAACACACCTCCTCACTAACACTGTTTATCACTGTGCTGCCCTCTGCTGGACTGTAAACACACCTCCTCACTAACACTGTTTATCACTGTGCTGCCCTCTGCTGGACTGTAACACACCTCCTCACTAACACTATTTATCACTGTGCTGCCCTCTGCTGGACTGTAACACACCTCCTCACTTACACTGTGTATCACTGTGCTGCCTTCTGCTGGTCTGCAACACACCTCCTCACTAACACTGTTTATCACTGTGCTGCCTCTGCTGGACTGTAACACACCTCTTCACTAACACTGTTTATCACTGTGCTGCCTCTGCTGGACTGTAACACACCTCTTCACTAACACTGCTTATCACTGTGCTGCCCTCTGCTGGACTGTAACACACCTCCTCACTAACACTGTTTATCACTGTGCTGCCCTCTGCTGGACTGTAACACACCTCCTCACTAACACTGTTTATCACTGTGCTGCCCTCTGCTGGACTGTAACACACCTCCTCACTAACACTGCTTATCACTGTGCTGCCCTCTGCTGGACTGTAACACACCTCCTCACTAACACTGCTTATCACTGTGCTGCCCTCTGCTGGACTGTAACACACCTCCTCACTAACACTGCTTATCACTGTGCTGCCCTCTGCTGGACTGTAACACACCTCTTCACTAACACTGCTTATCACTGTGCTGCCCTCTGCTGGACTGTAACACACCTCCTCACTAACACTGCTTATCACTGTGCTGCCCTCTGCTGGACTGTAACACACCTCTTCACTAACACTGCTTATCACTGTGCTGCCTCTGCTGGACTGTAACACACCTCTTCACTAACACTGCTTATCACTGTGCTGCCTCTGCTGGACTGTAACACACCTCTTCACTAACACTGCTTATCACTGTGCTGCCTCTGCTGGACTGTAACACACCTCTTCACTAACACTGCTTATCACTGTGCTGCCTCTGCTGGACTGTAACACACCTCTTCACTTACACTGTTTATCACTGTGCTGCCTCTGCTGGACTGTAACACACCTCTTCACTACACTGTTATCACTGTGCTGCCTCTGCTGGACTGTAACACACCTCTTCACTACACTGTTTATCACTGTGCTGCCTCTGCTGGACTGTACACACCTCCTCACTACACTGTTTATCACTGTGCTGCCTCTGCTGGACTGTAACACACCTCCTCACTAACACTGTTTATCACTGTGCTGCCTGCTGGACTGTAACCACCTCCTCACTAACACTGTTTCACTGTGCTGCCTCTGCTGGACTGTAACACACCTCCTCACTAACACTGTTATCACTGTGCTGCCCTCTGCTGGACTGTAACACCTCCTCACTAACACTGTTATCACTGTGCTGCCCTCTGCTGGACTGTAACACACCTCTCACTAACACTGCTTATCACTGTGCTGCCTCTGCTGGACTGTAACACACCTCTCACTAACACTGTTTCACTGTGCTGCCTCTGCTGGACTGTAACACACCTCCTCACTAACACTGTTTATCACTGTGCTGCCTCTGCTGGACTGTAACACACCTCCTCACTAACACTGTTTATCACTGTGCTGCCTCTGCTGGACTGTAACACACCTCCTCACTAACACTGTTTATCACTGTGCTGCCTCTGCTGGACTGTAACACACCTCTTCCTAACACTGCTTATCACTGTGCTGCCTCTGCTGGACTGTAACACCTCTCACTAACACTGTTTATCACTGTGCTGCCTCTGCTGGTCTGTAACACACCTCTTCACTTACACTGTTTATCACTGTGCTGCCCTCTGCTGGTCTGTAACACACCTCCTCACTAACACTGTTTATCACTGTGCTGCCTCTGCTGGTCTGTAACACACCTCCTCACTTACACTGTTTATCACTGTGCTGCCTTCTGCTGGTCTGTAACACACCTCCTCACTTACACTGTTTATCACTGTGCTGCCCTCTGCTGGTCTGTAACACACCTCCTCACTTACACTGTTTATCACTGTGCTGCCTTCTGCTGGTCTGTAACACACCTCCTCACTTACACTGTTTATCACTGTGCTGCCCTCTGCTGGTCTGTAACACACCTCCTCACTTACACTGTTTATCACAGTGCTGCCCTCTGCTGGTCTGTAACACACCTCCTCACTTACACTGTTTATCACAGTGCTGCCTCTGCTGGTCTGCAACACACCTCCCTCACTTACACTGTTTATCACTGTGCTGCCTCTGCTGGACTGTAACACACCTCCTCACTAACACTGTTTATCACTGTGCTGCCCTCTGCTGGTCTGTAACACACCTCCTCACTTACACTGTTTATCACTGTGCTGCCTCTGCTGGACTGTAACACACCTCCTCACTAACACTGTTTATCACTGTGCTGCCCTCTGCTGGTCTGTAACACACCTCCTCACTTACACTGTTTATCACAGTGCTGCCCTCTGCTGGTCTGTAACACACCTCCTCACTTACACTGTTTATCACTGTGCTGCCCTCTGCTGGTCTGTAACACACCTCCTCACTAACACTGTTTATCACTGTGCTGCCTCTGCTGGACTGTAACACACCTCCTCACTAACACTGTTTATCACTGTGCTGCCCTCTGCTGGTCTGTAACACACCTCCTCACTAACACTGTTTATCACTGTGCTGCCTCTGCTGGACTGTAACACACCTCCTCACTAACACTGTTTATCACTGTGCTGCCTCTGCTGGACTGTAACACACCTCCTCACTAACACTGTTTATCACTGTGCTGCCTCTGCTGGTCTGTAACACACCTCCTCACTTACACTGTTTATCACTGTGCTGCCTCTGCTGGTCTGTAACACACCTCCTCACTAACACTGTTTATCACTGTGCTGCCTCTGCTGGTCTGTAACACACCTCCTCACTTACACTGTTTATCACTGTGCTGCCTCTGCTGGACTGTAACACACCTCCTCACTTACACTGTTTATCACTGTGCTGCCTCTGCTGGTCTGTAACACACCTCCTCACTAACACTGTTTATCACTGTGCTGCCTCTGCTGGACTGTAACACACCTCCTCACTAACACTGTTTATCACTGTGCTGCCTCTGCTGGTCTGTAACACACCTCCTCACTAACACTGTTTATCACTGTGCTGCCTCTGCTGGACTGTAACACACCTCCTCACTAACACTGTTTATCACTGTGCTGCCTCTGCTGGACTGTAACACACCTCCTCACTTACACTGTTTATCACTGTGCTGCCCTCTGCTGGACTGTAACACACCTCCTCACTAACACTGTTTATCACTGTGCTGCCCTCTGCTGGACTGTAACACACCTCCTCACTAACACTGTTTATCACTGTGCTGCCTCTGCTGGACTGTAACACACCTCCTCACTAACACTGTGTATCACTCTGCTGCCCTCTGCTGGACTGTAACACACCTCCTCACTAACACTGCTTATCACAGTGCTGCCTCTGCTGGACTGTAACACACCTCCTCACTTACACTGGCCATTTCTCATTTCTCTAACTCCCCTCCTCGACTCCTTTCCTCAAGACTTAGTCCCGCCCACAGGAGATGCGAACGGAGGAGTCGAGGAGGGGAACCGAGGAGAGAGGAGGGGAACCGAGGAGAGAGGAGGGGAACCGAGGAGAGAGAGGAGAGAGGAGGGGAGTCGAGGAGAGAGGAGGGGAACCGAGGAGAGAGGAGGGGAAGCAGCAGGCGGTTAGAGAAAGGAGAACTCCTCTCCTCTGAGCTGGTCATTTTAAAGAGACGTCCATTAATGATGACAGGAGGCACAGCAGCCCTCTGTCTGATGGACAGATGTGTTCATGACCACTTTTATATTTACTTTGATTCAATCACAGTGCGGTATAATGAGACAATAACAGGCTGCAGATGAGGACAAACACACACACACACACACACACACACACATATATATATATATAAATATATACCATTTCAGAATCAAACAGAGCACTCTCATAATAACGTAACACTATCAGAGACTGGATATACCCCCCCCCCCCCTCTCCCCTCTCTGGTCGCTACAATGAGGGAAATAAATTATGGGCCAAAAGTTTTATTTACAAGTATTAAAAGTAAGCAGAGGACACCAAACCAACTGAGACCTGTCTGTCCGCTGCATCTACGCACTGTACAACACACACACCTACACACTGTACCACACACACCTGCAGCTCCTAAAGCATCATCAGGCTGCAGCCGTTGTGTATTTTATTTTGTGAAGCACTAAATGCTCTTAGAAACATCTGGACTCTTTGTTTGTAGATATCTACTAAACTAAAGCAAAGAGAGTCGGCCTGTTCTACTGAGTGATATATATTATACACACTGCTCTGCTTTCTGCACGGACCGCTCAGCTGTTCTCTCTGGAAACATCGCCTCACGATGAGAGCAGTTTCTCAAATAATATCCAGGGGATGCATGCAGAGCTGTGATTGGCTGAGATCAATCCGGCCGTGCGTCACGACTCTTTGAAACATCTCTGTTCCCGGAAATGCATCCACGAAGGAGCCGAGGAGGACCCATCAGTGTCTCCTCGGTTAGAGCTCCTCCAGAGAGCCTCCTCTATCCTCTCTCCTCTCTCCTCCGTTAGAGCTCCTCCAGAGAGCCTCCTCTTTCCTCTCTCCTCTCTCCTCTCTCCTCTCTCCTCGGTTAGAGCTCCTCCAGAGAGCCTCCTCTTCTCTCTCCTCTCTCCTCGGTTAGAGCTCCTCCAGAGAGCCTCCTCTCCTCTCTCCTCTCTCCTCGGTTAGAGCTCCTCCAGAGAGCCTCCTCGACGCTCAATCCTCGGTCCTCGAAGTGCATTTAGAGAAATGAGATGTCCTTCAACATGGCGCGCTAAAATTCATTTCCGGGTCACTACCAGAGGACCGAGGAGTCGAGGAGTCGAGGAGGGGGATTTGATTAAATGAGAAAGAGCGACTGTTTATCACTGTGCTGCCTCTGCTGGACTGTAACACTATGATAAAGCTTTATGTATTCATGACTCGGGTCCGGATCTTTATCTCTTTCCATCATTACTTGTTAGTTGTGTGCGGACAAGTGGTTCTGAGGTTATGATTGGACGACAGCGCAGGTGATGAATAAAGATAACGTGTGAGTTTCAGAGTTCAGGAGAGAACGGCGGTCAGGATGAGTGTGAGGAGGGAGGGGCCAACATCAGGCCTCCATCAGGGAGTCAGAGGGTACAATACTGCATAAAATATTGCATTCTGTACTGTAATACTACTGCTGATAATACTGCATGTTGTACTGTAGGTGAGAGGTTTTTTGTTACAGCAGTTTTATTTTTGCCTAATACTTTACTCTGTTACAGTCCTATAAAGGTCCTGAGCTTTGAGAGCCAATTCCACAAACTGCAGGCCGACTCCAACTACCTGCTGTCAGAGGAGTTCGAGGTCCGTTCATATTCCCTCCTATAACCTGTTACCCTCCTGTGACCCGTTAACCTCCTGTGACCTGTTACATCACATTGCATTTAGCTGACGCTTTTATCCAAAGCGACTTACAATAAGTGCGTTCGACCAACAAAATACAAAACAGAATCATATAAGTACATCAGGCTTCATAGAGCAAAAACATTTCAAGTGCTACTCAACTGGCTTTAGATAAGCCAGCCCTTTATTAGTATATAAGTGCTTTGTTAATAGTTCTATCGCTCGAAGTGGAGTCGAAAGAGATGAGTTTTCAGTCTGCGCCGGAAGGTGTGTAAGCTATCTGCTGTCCTGATGTCAATGGGGAGCTCATTCCACCATCTTGGAGCCAGGATAGCAAACCCACGTGTTTCTGCTGATGGGAACTTGGGTCCCCTTCGCAGCGAGGGTGCAGCGAGTCGTTTGGTTGATGCAGAGCGTAATACACATGCTGGGGTGTACGGTTTAACCATGTCCTGGATTTAGGAAGGGCCAGATCCATTCGCAGCATGGTACGCAAGTACCATTATCTTGAAGTGGATTCTAGCAGTTATCGGAAGCCAGTGAAGGCAGCGTAGGAGCGGCGTGATGTGGGAGAATTTAGGAAGGTTGAAGACCAGGCGAGCCGCTGCATTCTGGATGAGCTGCAGAGGTCGGATGGCACATGCAGGTAGACCAGCCAGGAGAGAGTTACAGTAGTCTAGGCGTGAGGTGACGAGAGTCTGGACCAGAACCTGCGTGGCTTTCTGGGTCAGCTGGGGACGCATCCTCCTGATGTTGTAAAGCGTGTATCTGCAGCAACGGGTTGTAGCAGCTATGTTTGCAGTGAAGGACAGGTTGTTATCTAGGATCACACCCAGATTCCTTGCAGTCTGAGTCAGGGAAACAACAGAGGTGCCAATGTTGATTGTTAGGTCAAGAGTGGGACAATCTTTTCCCGGAAGGAAAAGCAGTTCAGTCTTGTTCAGGTTGAGCTTGAGGTGATGATCAGACATCCACTGAGAGATGTCAGCTAGACAAGCAGAGATGCGTGCGACGACCTGGGTCTCTGAGCCGGGAAAGGACAGAATTAATTGGGTGTCGTCAGCGTAGCAGTGGTATGAAAAACCATGCGGGCTAATGACTGATCCGAGCGAGTTTGTGTACAAGGAGAAGAGGAGGGGACCAAGAACAGTGCCCAGAGGGACCCCTGTAGTTAATTGACAAGGGTCGGACTCGGACCCTCTCCAAGTAACCCTGTAGGTACGGTCTTTCAGGTATGAGGTGAGGAGGGAAAGTGCAGAGCCTGAAACTCCAAGTTCTTGGAGAGTGCGAAGGAGGATCTGATGGTTCACCGTGTCGAATGCAGCAGACAGGTCCAAAAGGATGATGACAGAGGAGAGGGAGGCTGCTTTAGCAGTGTGCAGTTCCTCAGTGACAGCAAGGAGGGCAGTTTCTGTGGAGTTACCTGCCTTGAAACCAGACTGGTGCGGATCCAGAAGGTTGTTCTGATAGAGATAGCAGGAGAGTTGTCTAAAGACAGCGCGTTCAAGTGTTTTAGACAGGAACGGGAGGAGAGAGACAGGCCTGTAATTTATAACATCAGACGGGTTGAGAGTGGGTTTCTTTAGGAGAGGGTTTACTCTTGCCTCCTTGAGACTGTTTGGAAAGTGACCAGAAGTTAGAGAAGTGTTGATGAAATGGGTGAGAAACGGTAGAATATCAGGAGCGATAGTCTGAAGGAGGTTTGAAGGGATAGGGTCCAGAGGACAGGTGGTAGGGCGGGCAGAGGTAATGAGGGTAAGAACCTCACTTGGAGAGAGAGGGGAAAAGGAGGTCAGTGAACGGAGGGTCTGGTGACCCAGCGGTGAGTAAAGGTGAGTCAGAAAAAGAAGAGCGAATATCATCAACCTTTTTTTCAAAGTGGTTAACAAAGTCGCTTGACAGAAGGGAGGAGGGGGAAGGGGCTTTGGGGGGGTCCAAGAGGTTGGAGAAGATGGAAATTAGTTTTTTGGGATTGGAATAGGAAGATTGGATCTTATCTTGAAAGAAAGTGCTTTTTGCCTGAGAGATCGAAGCAGAGAAAGAGGAGAGGAGAGCCTGATAGGTTAGGAGGTCGTCACGGTGTTTGGATTTCCACCATTTCCGCTCTGCTGCCCGAAGGACGGTTCTATTAGCACGCAGTGCATCATTTATCCAGGGAGCAGGAGGGGACTGACGAGCCTGCCGAGATGTGAGAGGACAGAGAGAGTCCAGAGAGGATGAGAGAGTAGAGAGGAGAGTTTTTGCAGCAGAGTTTGGAGGCAGGAGTTGGGACGAGTCCGAGGAAGGGAGGGCTGAGAGCACCGATGAGGCAAAGGTAGAGGGGGAGAGGGAACGAAGGTTATGGCGGACAGGTGCAGGATGAGAAGAGATTAGTTTGTTATGTTTTGAAAGGGGTAGAGAGAATGAAATGAAGAAGTGATCGGATGTGTGGAGCGGGTTTACAGAGAGGTTAGAAGTAGTGCAGTTCCTTGAGATAGTGAGAAAGCACAGGCGGTTAACAGAGATGTTAGTTCGTCTATCTTCTCTGTCTCGAGGTTGAAGTCTCCGAGAAGTACAGCGGGAGGGCCAGTTTCAGGGATGTGTGAGAGGAGATGATCTAATTCCTCCAAGAAGTCCCCCAAGGCGCCTGGTGGACGGTAGAGAACAACAATGGTTAATTGTATAGGATGGGTTACTGTGACGGCATGGAATTCAAAGGTGGAAGGAGTGAAGTTAGGTAGCTTGAAGAGGGAAAAGCTCCATTTGGGAGAGAGCAGGAGACCAGTGCCACCTCCTCTGCCAGTTGGTCTGGGTGTATGGGAGAAGGAATATGCTGTGGAGAGAGCTGCTGGGGTGGATGTGTTGGATGGAGTAATCCAGGTCTCAGTGAGAGCAAGGAAATCCAGAGACTGCAGGGAGGCGTAGCCAGAGATGAAGTCAGCCTTAGGAACAGCTGACTGGCAGTTCCACAGGCCGCCTGAAACTAGATGTTGGATCTCAGTGGAGCATGTGGGATAGACGAGAGCAGGCCGGTTATATCGATTACGAGATACACAGGGCCAGTGATAATTGCGAGAAGACACATAAACAGGAATGGAGAAAATACACATGATTATAGCATGAGGGGCTAAACAACCACAGAAAATAAAACACCAGCGATACTTAGCTCAATCAAAGTAGGATTTGCCTCCTCTTTGCCTCCCTCGTGACTCCAGCAGGACTCTAATGTCTTAGCCTGTCTGACGCTGGAGCTGACGCTCCAGGAAAGTGCTACCTAAAATGGACACCTGATTGCTGAGTTCTCACAGCTGTGGGGCCATGTCCCTTTAATTAGTTAACTATCTGCAGCTGGTGGCCCTCAAAAGGAAATCTAGACTGCCTTCCTCCTGATTTGTTATTGTCTTTTGAGTCAATTACATTCAACCCTAAGTTATAAAGTTATGAGTTTAACCCTTAATACAGTTACACCTACTCAATAAAGCTCTTAGTATTCTACAAATGTTTAAATCAAAGTTAACCCTAGCAGTCAGTTAGTTCACTTTTAAGGTTTCAGTCAAATGACTTGTCCCAAGTTTCTGCCTGACAGATACTGTAGCGGTTTTGAGATTTAAAATCACAATTCCAGTCAGATCAACTACAGAGCATTGATACAGAGTACACACACTGAAACAGAGAAGTCTAAAGACACAATGTTACTCACACAATTCTAGAAGTCTCCAGTAGCTTTCCTGTCAAAATCGAGTTGCACACTGTGACCCTCCTATAACCTGTTACCCTCCTATAACCCGTTACCCTCCTATAACCTGTTACCCTCCTATAACCTGTGACTCTCCTATAACCTGTTACCCTCCTATAACCTGTTACCCTCCTATAAACTGTGGCCCTCCTATAACCTGTTACCCTCCTATAACCCGTTACCCTCCTATAACCTGTGACCCTCCTGTAACCTGTTACCCTCCTATAACCTGTTACCCTCCTATAACCTTTTACCCTCCTATAACCTGTTACCCTCCTATAACCTGTTACCCTCCTATAACCCGTTACCCTCATATAACCTGTTACCCTCATATAACCTGTTACCCTCCTATAACCCGTTACCCTCCTATAACCTGTTACCCTCCTATAACCCGTTACCCTCCTATAACCTGTTACCCTCCTGTAACCTGTTACCCTCCTGTAACCTCTTACCCTCCTATAACCCGTTACCCTCCTATAACCCGTTACCCTCCTATAACCTGTTACCCTCCTATAACCTGTTACCCTCCTGTAACCTCTTACCCTCCTATAACCCGTTACCCTCCTATAACCTGTTACCCTCCTATAACCTGTTACCCTCCTATAACCTGTTACCCTCCTATAACCCGTTACCCTCCTATAACCTGTTACCCTCCTATAACCTGTTACCCTCCTATAACCTGTTACCCTCATATAACCTGTTACCCTCCTGTAACC